GGAAGCTGCATCAAAAAAAAACATGACCCTGCCAACACGTAATTCATTTGTGGTGACTAGGAAGCTTAATTAGTTCCTAAGCTACGTCTGCTAACTTTCACTAGGTTCATGGAATAAAACCAAGCTGCAATTCAGTACAATCATACAATCATTAAGGCTGGAAGACCACTAAGATCACCTAGCCCAACCAGCAACCCATCAAATGCAGTTGTTGGGAAGGATGTAAGTACAGCCAGAGAAGGCGCAGGCTGGAGGAACCATCTCACAAGTGCACTGCCATGTTTAGATGAGAGAACTGGGATTGGTGTGGAGAAGAGGAGGCTCAGGAGAGACATTGTTCCTCTTTGCAACTGCCTGAAAGGAGGGTGTGCCGAGGTGGGGGTTGGCCTCTTCTCCCAGGTAACAGCAATAGGACAAGAGGTTATGCCAGGGGAGGTGCAGGTTGGATATTAGGGAGCATTTATTCTCAGGAAGAGTGGGGAGGCAGTGGCACAGGGAGGTGGTGCAGTCAGTGCCCCTGGAGAGGTTCAAGAAATGTGAAGATGCAGCACTGAGGGATGTGGTCAGTGGGCATGGTATGGATGGGCTGATGGCCGGGCTGGATGATCTTAGTGGTCTTTTCAAACCTTAATGATCCTACGATTCCCTTCCATTAGCATCCTATATGTGATTACAGCTATGTTCACTGCATCCCTCTTAATGCAGTGGAACCTCAGCATAGCCGCTTCTCAGTTCTGAAGGATTTTAGATACTGCTCAACAAAACTAATTTACTTTAATTAAACTCATCTATGTTTTATAGACAAAACACATCTCAGATGGTGTGCAGAACTTACAGATAGCAGCTACCCAAGAGATTCCACTCCCGGTTAACTGTGCCAGCTGATAGCCCCATGTAATTTAAGCAATCATTTTTACATGACTGAATCTGATAAACAATTTTCTTTGCAAAAAATGGCTTCCTGTCAGACATGGACAAAAGCAGGCAATGCACAACACGTCCTTGGAAGGGATCAACCTCTCTCTGCTGCAATAATCACAGCAGAACCTTCTGGCAGGCCTGGGAAGAGTCTTGCTCCTACACTGGTCTTTCTCTTCTGTTGATGTCTGCGTCAGGCCCATTCACCTTTAAGGTTTGGGGAGCGCTTCATTACAAAGGTGTGCACGTGGTGCAGACTAAAGCCTTGATAGCAATTTTTATGATTTACAAGGATGTCGACAATGCAATTTTCTAGCATCTAGTTCCACCTTTTAAAGATAAAACTTGATCCTTCCAAGAATAAAAAATTAATCTGAAAGAATGAGATTGAATTCAGAGGAGCTACAAACACCAGAGAAGAGAGCAATAAAAGAAAGCAATCTAATAAATACGGTCAAAAAGGGAAGGTAATAGTCTTTTCTTACTAAAACTATTGATCAGAAACTCTATTTCCCATAGAGTTGGGCTGCCTTCTGGATTGCATGGCTCGCAGCATGCCGGACACACAGTTCAGCTCTGCTCTGCTCAAGGTCCCAATGAAATGACAAGTGATGCTCCTGCCCTTCACTGCTACCAGCCCTCTGCCCAGTCCACACAACAGATGGCACCAGGCTTCTGTTTCAGTGCAGAAGCAATCAGCTTGACTTCAGCACAGGACCACAGATCTCCAACAGAAGAGCAGCAACATCCCAAAGAGCAGCAACGTCCCAAACCATGGAGGCCATTTCTACACACCTCAGCTCAGTGTCCTTGCTACAAAGCATGATCAGTCTCACAAGAAACAAGCATCAATCAGGTCAAACTGCAGGGCAGCACAATAAGGAAAAACAGCCATTTACAACCTTTACCAAGATACGTTTTCTTCTTGTGTTTTCTATCAGATTTTATCACATGTATCCAGGATGATAGAAGCCCCCAGGGTCACTTCAGTATCTTCAGATCTTGCATTTCTTTTATGGTTTGAATTGGATGTTCTCTGCCATAGCTCTCTGGTTTTTAATGTTTTGCTTCAGGCATTTCTCTCTTTATGAGCCTGGCCAGAGAGCACGACACAGCACTCACTGCTCCAGCTGGATTCAGTCAGCTGCAAAAATCACTTTTTATTTCCATTCATATCATATTTAAAAAAAAAATGTCTATTAAAACGGTAAAAATTAATTTGCAACCACTTAGGTCAGAGCCTAAATTTCTCACACTCTTCACCCAATTTAATGTGCTGCTTCATTCAATGAGCTCTTTTCAAAGTGAAACCCTAACAGAAATTTCTCTGATGCTGAGGCAAAGCAGTATCTTTGCAATGACACATTTATGCGTCTCATGAAAATACTGCAAGCCAGACACCTTCCACTGCTAGCATTTACTGTCAATCTATTTAACTAATTAAGAAAAAAAAAATCTCTTCGGTGTTATCATGACTTTCACCTTTTCAGTGCTGTAACTTTCCAGTTCCCATCCAAAAGAGGCTTGAAACAACTTGTAAGGAATTATCCAGTAAACAAATGGCTCTGTTATTGTTGTATGTAGCAAACCAAACATTTAAGACTGAACAAAAACCTGCTAAAGTACACTATGATATATACAGATCCACGTAACATACAGCCTCAGAATTAGCTAAATGTACCAGACTTAGTCTTAGCATTATACCTATGTATCAACAAGCTGGAATTGTTCTAGGAGCAGAAGGAAATCAATCGCTATTAATGTAAGGCACAGATGGAAACTAATATGAAAATGCAAAGGAGCTCACTGGAAAACACTCCCCAGCCAAACCAGTCCTTGCACTTCTGAGATTAACTTCTGGGTTTTGTGCTTTTTCACTTGTTGCAGAAAACACAGCTAAAATAAGGGTTGGTCAGGAGCCTTTCAGACCAGATCTACTGCTCACAGGAGTGACAACCCAAAGCCACTGTCAAATGCCAAACAATGCCTGCTTTTGCTCTCTTGTTCCCCACCCTTCGATGCACTCCGCGTATGGAGCACCTGCCTTAAGGACCTTCCCTCTCCTCTTTCACATGGCTCCATTCCTCCACCCAAGGTGTACACCTCTCAAGGACAGCTGCATTTGAAGCAGGCAAATTCAGTGGGAATTCAAGAAATAATGGCTCTATATCCGATGACACAAATACATTTAAAACTCCATTATTCCAAAGTATAAAACAAAGGGCACTTGAAAAAATGTATGCAGACAATGAAAACACCACAAAGACATGGGCAACCCTTCCACTACATGTAGTTGGCTTTCACTCTTACTGTTCACTGGGAATGAATACTTCCCTCGCACCTGTACAAGTGAACAGGCATGTTCCATTAAGGACCAAAATCTTGTGTTTGTTCAGCTCACATACTGCCAGCAAACTATGTTCAACCTTCTCAGTGCAATAATCTGAGTGAAGAGACACCAGCTGATGCGCAAGCCAACGGATGCAAAGAAGTGCATTTGATCTATGAACACATCAGAATATGAAGCATATGCCACCATATTACCACCTATTTGCAGCTCATCTTCAAACAGCCGTGTGCTGTTGATGTCCCTCGCTCCAATCTTGTGTTTATTGTCTTCAGGTGCAGAAGCAGGACCTCTATTAGCCCAGTGCAGAAGCATTTGCTGACAACGTTCATCACAACCCTTCCAGCAGTCCATATAATGAAGCATAAGCACAGTCACAGCAGCATCACAACAGATCCATCTTCATCCACAGATTCATCACCAATACTATTAGCAGACCACAGCATTTTCCAGGCCCACTGTGGGACCACAGACGAAACAACACTGTGCCTCAGCTGCCAAGCAGGTCCCATCTTTCATATTTAGTATTTGTGAAACTTGGTCATTTCTTCTTGTTCCACATCATCAGGAAAGAGCAGACGGCAGATGTGCCCTGCCTGTAATATTCTTGTGATGATACCCAGCCTGCTGGCGGAATGGGAAATGCCACATTTGGAGACAAATATTTCAGTCTTGAGTAATCCAGCAAAAAGATAACGTGGGGGTACAGTAAGAGAAACAAATGCTTTTGCTGAATTGATGCTGGCAGATTTCTGTAATTAAAAAAATGGCAAAAAGTGATATTGAAGAAAGGAGTGTTTACTTCACTGTGTCTTCACGTAGGTGATGGGATACCAGACGCCCTGCTTTTTGAGACGATGAGTACTTTGTGATTTACTGAAAAGCAGTATCAGGCGAAAGCCCTCAAGCAATTGTACCTACTCAGTGTTTTACTCACCATTTTGTAGCTTGCCATGTACTCTTCACTAAGACAGGTCTGCTAAAACAGACAATCTTCACTTTGAAGACCTCTTCACTGTCAAAAACACTGTCAGCAAGCCAAACACTGAATTCTCCTGCTCTCCCTCATTTTCTCGGAAAGCAGACTTCCCTTTGTCTAACTCACTGCTGAAATGTGCAAAATTCAGTTTTGATCATTCTCCATCCTGTCTGTAAACATTCACCATGTTTTGTTTGTGTTCCTGAATGATGTGCCAGTACTGTTAGGGGGGAAGACAAGAATGGCTGCTGCTTCCCTTCCATGGGAAGGAACCAACAGCAGATGCCTTGTTACTGTTCATTATGGTGCAGCAGTTGGGGAAACCACACACAAAATTGGCAATAAACAGCCATTTTTTGATGGGATGAAACTTCAACATGGCTAGAAAACAAATAATCTTTTATTCGTTGTATTTAATCTATTCAAAAGAAAAAAAAAAAACAAAAAAAACCTACTTTAAGGCTGCAATCTTTCAGGTGTTCCTGCTACATAACGTGCACTGTGTAACTGACTTCCTTAGGCAGCATTATTACCTTTTGGGGTATCGTCATGGAGTTAACTAGATCAATCTATGCCTGTGACAGGGGGGCAGTAGGCCCCTGCCCCCCCCCCCCCAGCCCCACAAAACGGGAAGGGAAAAGGAAAAGGGGTAGGGAGATGGGAACTGGGCTCAAGGAAGGAAGAAAAAAACAGCGGCAACGATCTATGGAGGAAAACTTATTTTACTCCCTATGATATCAGAATGCACAATAACACAATATAATACAATCTAATTGAAATTGAGACTCATAAATTAAATAAGATAGGAGAGGAAGAGTTCCTGAGACCGAATCAAACCGGAAAAGCTTGGAACGGCTAGGAGAGCACCTCCAGCACCCACTGCAAGGCTGTAAGAGAGCGCCCCACCAGGAAGGGCCAGATCCCATGGCTTCTGTAAATGTATGGGAGAACAGGTGCCTGGAATTGGAGCATTAACACTTCAAGTGCACTGCATGATGTTATGATGCGGAATACTGAAAACCAAAAAGCATAAAACCAGGACAGGTGTCACACTGTCCTCCCTCAGATGGGACTCAAACCCAAGAATTTAGCTTCTAAAAGTGGTTTTCTGAATTGCCTAATGCAAGTGACAGAATCATAGGAGAAATGATAACAGACGGATAAATGAGTGTTTTCATAACAAGACCAGAAGACACACTGTAAGTCCATACCAACGCTTCAGGAATTTTAATAAAGTATTTTAAATACATGTACATGATACACGTAAGACAAAAAAATTATTTTTAAGTAGTATGATTTGAGCTGCCAACTGTATTTCTTTAGAAATTTTAGTACACATGTATCTTCCAAAATAGCAAACCTGACACAGCCAAGAAAGGAGCCTCCTGTTTTTATTTAAAGCAGGATTAATTTAAAAAAGAGAATTGCTTCAAAATCTGGAGATTTAAAATTATAAACATATTATGGGAAGATGACATCTGAGGATTTAAGTCGGAAAGTTGGTTCAGAAAGTCTTATAAATCAAACTAGTCCTTGTCTATAATCTACAAGGTACTGTGAGGCAAGCCCATTGCACATGGACCACAGCTATCTTCAGCTATCCATTTGCCCAGATGCCATATTTACTTTGTGTGGACTACCAACAAAACTGTGAATATGTCTGCCCTCCCCCTCCTCCACCCCCCAAAAAAAAAGTGCAGGAAAATAATTAGCTCTGACTCTTGAGCAGATGCAGGACAAGCTCTTCATCCTCTGCCAGGGAGAGCCCCGTATCCAATGGCAAAAGGTGATCCTCCTCTTGGCTGAATTTTGCCTTCTTTCTTTTCTGTGGCATTTCTCCTGCTGCTACGCTGTCACTGCGGCTTCTTCTCTTTCTTCCACTCTTCTCCTCAAGTTCTCTACAGAAAAAAATCGATTACTCTTTTTTAACAACTGTGGTAATCAATATCATCATGTAATCAATTCATTTTAAACAAGGCAAATTTATGTCAAGATAAGAGCAAACAAAATTACAGTCTAGAAGAGTAAAGCAACAGAAGCTGACGAACTCTGCATGCCTAAATTAGAATTGCTCTCAGACCGAGGTGGTGCTGAATGCTCTGCTGTCTTAATTGATTACAGTATATCAAGATATCACCATCAGCCTTATCCAATATTTACCGCCTTATTCAGCCACAGACAACTTGACAAAGCTGATTTAGTGATGTGTCAGTGGACCCTGACATGCGTTCAGGATCACCTATAATAAATCTGCAATCACAATAAAAAGATGAGAATTGTCATTTCATTGGCAAATCCTACCCTTACTTACTGCAGTTTTGATTTGAGTCCATCTCATTCAAGCCCCTCTTTCCCATTTTTTCAAGAATAAGTCCTTGGAAGCTATTAACCACCTCTTTGCCACATGAGGCATACCCAAACTCAGTTCCTTTCCCTGGTGAATTTCTGTTCCTTCTGCTGCTTTTGCTAAGATTGGAATGAATTGGCATTTGCAGCCTTCAATCTGGACCAAACAGCTGTGTATGTTTTAAAACTGCCACTTCTGTCACATGGCCAAATGACAGCAGCAACAGGAAAGCCCAAGCACACAGCTTTCACTGAATGACCGAACTGCAGAGGCTGGAAAGGAACTTCTGGAGATCATCAGGTCCAAGTCCCTGCTTAATCAGGTTCCCTACAGTAGGTTCAGCTCCTGGCATCCTGCACTATGGATGGATCTGGGCTTCGAGTGCAGCTGCTGTGCACCCTGGGTGTCACACTTTAACACAGCAGAGGAGGAGCACCTGGTGGCCATGCAGCAGGCTGCTCCCTCTCTGTCCCACCTGCTGCGGAGGAGGTGCCAGCTCCTGCTCACTCATCACAACACAGAGACAGGAGGGAAAATCCAGGAGAAATACCTTACATTCTCACTGTTAAAACAAGTGATGCAGCCTACATTCACATGGACCTTCCCCTTCCACACCAGAAGAACCAGTGTAATGCAACAGCTGAGGACGACACGTTCGAATACTTCCCCTGAAACTGGGATATTTCATAGGACTTCACAACTTGTCATTTTTGAGCTGTCATTTGCATGGGGGTGGCTTTTCAGTGCTCACTACCGATGTTTATTTTACTCCTTTTCTGGCACAAGGACAACTTTCTCACTCTGCAGTGCTCAAGACGCTCCGTGAGTACAAAACCTACCTGGAGAGTGTGCAAAAAGACCCTCAAGCGCTGCTTCCAAGTGGCCACTGTAGGTTTGGGATTATGCCCTTTTGATCAGAACAGATTATGGAGGTCTGCTTTAAAAGCAGTAATGCTGAAGCTTCATTAAATAAAAGCAGTCCTAGCTTGTTTGCAAAAGAGCCAGTTATTTCCAGCATTTGAATCGACTCTGAAGCCTGCTTTGCATTCCTAATTGACTAATGCTTCATCTAGGACACCAGCTCAAAACATCTCAGCAATTAAAGCAACAAAGAAATCTCACAAGTTAGGAAACAGACTTTAAACGCCAAAAAGCATTTCACTTTGGAGTTTAGATGTTTGCAAGGTGTCAAATTTAAATATAAAACACATTCAAATGCAACTGTGAAGCTTCTGATTTCTTCCACAAACAAAAGAGCAGTGAGAAGGATTTTCACTGTAGGCTTTGAGGTAGATTGTGCTGAGTCAAGCTGTTGTTATTATTGAGGGGTCATGGTGCTGGATTAATAGTGCATCCTAAATACGTATCTACACATCAGCAGCAGGAGTATTTTCACACTAATTTAACCTCTACTACCAGGCTGTAAACTACAAAGTGAATAAGGAGGAATGTGTAACACAGGAAAATGGCAGAGAAGCCACTGAGTGATGAAGAGAGCTGTAGGGTTGTGTTTTCGTGATGCAGAAAGCAGACCCCGTTCAGGGCCACCAGCCCACCATGCAGAGCTGATCTTTTATCACTGGTCACTTTCCACAGGCATAAATGGCCCCTTACTCCTCAAATACCCACACACTGATGCACTGCCAGCTGGCGTCCACTGCAACAGCCAAAATAAAATAAAGTAATTCTGAAGTGAGTTATTTTCTAACACAAAAATGTAGTTAGAAAGCAAATCCACAATTCTGATCCAGACCAAAACCGGTGTGCCTCTTTGTCTCCTATTTACAACACTTAAAAAGTGGCGCATACAGCTGGATTACAATTCCTTCCTTCCACCATCTGGTGCAATTTAGCTTTTCATTGCTGCAGCAGCCTGAGCTGCCCACATGGGCTGAAACTCCCAATGGAAAGATTTACTGGGCTGTGTTTACAGAGCAAAGAGGTACCAAGAGCTGATTTGTCAACACACGCAGTAATTTCTGTGGTCGCCATTTGCACAGCTGTAACAACAAAGGAAGGTACTGTCCTGTGACAGGTAACTGTTATTACACAAGCACTAAAAGCACACTTTATGAATCCAGCCCCTGAAATGAATACCAGCGTAGATGAAAGGCATGTGGACAACAGGGATCCATCTACTTGTAACTCAGACCCTGACAACAATACACCAGGGAACTCTCTTAATTTAATTAGTAACAAATAATCACCCAAGTGTCTTTTGAGGACATACCAAGGGGAAAAATAGCCGTTAATTCCCAGTATTCAACTTGCATCTGGACATCAGATTAGATGGATGGACCACTCGCTGGATAAGGAATTGGCTGGATGGTCACACTCACAGAGTTGTGGTTGCGGCTCAATGCCCAAGTAGAGACGGATGATGAGTGGCATTCCTCAGGTGCTGGAACCAGTGTTATTTAACACCTTTGTAGGCAACAAAGAAGTGGGATTGAGTGCACCTTCAGCAAGTTTGCAGATGGTACCAAACTGAACAGTGCAGCTGACATGCAAGAGGAAAGGGATGCTATCCACAGAGACCTGGACAGGCTTGAGAGGTGCGCCCATGCCAGCCTTATGAAGTTCAACAAGGCCAAGTGCAAGGTTCTGCACCAGGATGGGGCAATCCCAAGTACAGATACAGGTTGGGTGGAGAACGGCTTGAGAGCAGCCCTGAGGAGAACGATCTGGGAGTTTCAGCTGATGAAAGATTTAACACAAGCCAGCAGTGTGCGCTTGCAGACCAGAAGGCCAACCGTATCCTGGGTTGCATCTAGAGAAGCGTGACCAGGAGGGCAAGGGAGATGGCTGCCCCTCTACTCTGCTTTCATGAGACCCCACCTGGAGAACTGCATCCAGCTCTGGGGCCACAACACAAGAAGGACATGGAGCTGTTGGAGCCGGCCCAGAGGAGGCCCACAAAGATAATCAGAGGGCTGGAACAACTTCCCTGTGGGGGGACAGGCTGAAAGACCCAGGGTTCTTCAGCCTGCAAAAGGCTCCAGGGGGACCTTATAGCAGCCTTCCAGTACCTAAAGGGGGCCTACAGGAAAGCTAGGAAGGGACTTTTTGTGAGGTCGTGTAGCAACAGGATGAGTAGAAATGGTTTCAAACTGGAACATGGTAGATTTAGAGTAGATATTAGGAAGAAATTCTTTACTATGAGGGTGGTGATGCACTGAATCAGGTTGCCTCCTCCCTACAGGTATTCAAGGCCAGGCTGGATAGGACTCTGAGCAACCTGGTCTAGGGGGAGGCGTCCCTGCCTATAGCAGGGGGTTGGAACCAGGTTATCTTAGAGGTGCCTTCCAACCCAAGCCATTCTATGATTCTAAGATGAGAGGACAGCTTGAAAACAGAATTTATGAAAAGGCAAAGTTATCTATGCAGGCAGCAGCTTTTTCTAGCTGCCACCAAGTATAGGAAGCGAAGCCATTGATGGGAGACTTACCAGACCGTGGCGGTCATTGTTTCAAATGAATGATGCAAAATGGGAAAAAGCTCAAGAAAAAGCTGTGAATAATATGCAAGATCTGAAACTTTGCTCTCTAATGTGTTTTAAACTGTTGTTTGTTCAGTTTATCCAAGAGAATGTAAATATATAAAAAAAACTTTTGTGCCTGGATGTTGGATAGAATCAGATCAGAAATCAGGTTGTATCTCTGAAGGCAGCAGCATATTTCAGAGTGTTAAGACACTGAAAGATGGACATACAGCAAATCAAAATGGTTTGACTGAAACCCTGGTCAGCTCCAGCTAAAGCAATTTCAACCCTGAGCAATGATGATTCAGTGTTTTTGAGAATAATTTCAGTTTTCAAACTGTTGTATAAACTCAAATTGCTCTGCCTTGATCCACTGCGTGGAAACTCCAGTGGTCTGGGGCTGGATTATTCTGCTGCATTATGAGCAGCAATGCAATGCCTGTGACAGGAATGGGCAAGTCAAGGGCTGGTACAGCCTCACCCATCCAATTTGAATCTACTGTCTCCTGTTTACTAGAACCTTGGGGAAGTAAAGGTGGACACAGAGCAGAAGCAAGACATTGATGATTTGCTTTGGGTGCTTCTTCCCATCCGATTCTGTATGCTTTCCATGCAGTAATAAAAATAGTAAGCATATTGTCTTGCCGGTTTGATTTTGGTTTGAATATTTTTTCTTGTTTCAGATTGTAGTACTTCAGCTCCACGGCAGACTCAGCCCATCTTTTGCTTTTAGTACAATTACACTGGTATTTCATTACAAATAGATTTAATCTTCCTTTTTTTCTGCAATTGTTTCTTTTTTACAAATCTAGTTTGAGTGGTTTTGATTTACATCACTGGAATGGCCAGTAAAGGGAATAACACTGTGCAATATATTTTCATTACCATTTCTCTGTACTGTAGCATTCTTAGAGCAAATAAGAAAGAAGCTGCACTGGGCTTTGTGGAAGGGACTGCAGTAATTAATCTTCATTAGGACTGCTGCCATGGCCTTGCGAATTAAAATTTATTACGTGGAAGGAAGTTTGTGGCACAACATGTTTGATTAGCAAAATGCCAATATTTAAGAG